CGGCCGTCACTTCGTTTCAGGTAACATCCTCATGGATTGGAAATAAATGTATTAGTTCTCATTTTCTTTCAATTCACCTCGATTGCCCTGTGTCTTTTGTTCGTCCCGATGTCACTGTTCACCAAAAGTTTGTCTCATTGAAACTGGGGATGATGGATAGCGCATCTGCGCTTGGACAGATTTATTTCAGCTTTGAAGGAGAGGGGATAGATTCAAGTAAAGATTGACGGTAACCGAAGCAACAGTGCGTGATGAGTAGAAGAAAGCAATACTTCTCACTATCTGAGGGCCATAAATAGTCTGTCCGGAGAGGAAAGCTTTTCAGAAGCCGTAGGTTTAAAAATGTTCGCTTTAGAAGCCAGACCATCAGACGTGAAGTGCGAGGCTGAAGGAAAATGGTGCTATATTTCAAGTGCCGCTTTACCACACTCGGGATCAACCAACCTTTTGCGAATTATATACTGTCAATTATTGAACAGGTAGTCACAGGTTTGTGTCTCGTAAGATGTTTAATGTTGACTACTCCTAAAAAGCATCAAGTAGTACAACTGGCATCCGTTGACATGGCTGGCAGTATAGCGTCTTGATACAGACGAAATGGATGTAATGCTTTCATAAAGGAAACTACTCCCAAAGTTGCTGAAAACTCTTCGACAGCCCAAGACCGGTTTCGCCCTTCTCACGGTTCATCAAGTAGGCGCAGTCCTCGAGTTTTTGTCAACTCTATGTTCTACTTGAACCCAAATTGGACTGTTTTTGAGAATTACACTCATTTGCAAATCAGTTTGGTTTTCGCGAGAGACTCGACTGAATCTCTCGTTTATGATATTCAACAACTTAATATGCTGCACACAGGCCGCCTCATGATTCAGTTGGTACGATATTCGAGATATCGCAGTATATTTTCACGAAGGAAACTACTCATAAGGTTGCTGAAAACTCTTCGACAGCCCACGATCGGTTTCGCCCTACCTGGGGCTCATCAGGTAGGCGCAGTCCTCGCGTTTCCGTCAACTTCATGTTCTACTTGAACCCAAATTGGACTGTTTTCGAGAAATAGAAATAGAATTTCATAAACGAGAGATTCATTTGAGTCTCTCGTGAAAACCAAATTGATTTACATGGGGTGTGATGCTGTTTGTATAGGAGTATAGAACACCTGACTCCTTCACGTACTGCGCTTACCGAGACTGCGCTCGTCTACCGAGACGAGTGTTGATCCCCAAGTCTCCTTCATAATGGCGATAACTACGACGAGGACAAACTGTGACTTTAAAGGAGGTGAATGAGTTTACAAATAGTGAGTTTGTGGTTGGCATGGCTCGTCTTCCAGGATGTGGTGCCCTGATCCCTTGCGCTTGGTTGGAGGAATTACGAAAAATGGCGTTGATGCAAAAAGTACCGATCTAACATCAAATGTCACGGATATGTGGTAACAACGCAAATTTCGTCAGTAAAGCCCACAGAACGATCGATAGGACAAACACAAGGATTGATGCAGTTGATTGAATTAATCAACAGGCTGCTACACGGTGAGCTCATGGGTGTGATTCGCCACGCCGTTAACCACTGTTGAGTTTCAATGTGCTACTTTCCTTCACAACCATAAGAACCCCGTTTTTAAGGCAATTTCGATCCTCAGACGCTGGAAATCTGCATGGGAGTGGATAAAACAATGACACAAAAGTACTTGCACAGTTTCGAATTCTTAGAATTCCAAGGGAGCATACAAACTGAGAAGGAAACTAAAAACGAATTGGCCAAACTTATGAGACCTGTTAGATTTTCTGGAACAGATCGGGTGCTTGCTGGTTGGTGAGAAACGGGAGAAGGAACTAAGTTCTTTTCAAAACGGAACCATGCTGTTGTGTACGCCAAACTGGTTCTAGGCGTTTTGGCAGTAGCTCAACTTTTGTTTTTCCTTCAGGTCTTATGTCGCATATTGTGGCAACACAAAACTGAACGTGGCCGTGATACTCGTAAGAATAAATGTGTCAAATTCACGAAACAAATTCCGCAGAATTTAGAACATACAGAGGATATTGAGTTCCTTGATCGCTTTATCTGTGGGAAAAATGAAATTTAACTCCTGCTGTTACATTCCATGCCATGTTCGCTGTGATGCTGTCTAATCCGGGATTCGGAATAGCTAACCATGATGCCAATCTATGGTGGATGGCACTACACAACCCACCGGGTCCTGAAGTCACATTCACGGTCCTTCGTTATCAGAAGTCTGTGGTCTACAAGCGCGACAGTAGTGCTTGGAAACCACGATAATCACAAACATTAAATTCTATCAGCAGAGAGCACCAGATAAGAGAATCAAAATTCCCTTGAGACTAGGGTGTCTGCTCTTCAGCTAGGGTGTTGGTGGACTCGATCAATTCACCTAATCTTGGGCTACACAGATATGTGGCCCATCATTCTATCGATTCTCTGGATAGTCAGGTAGTGACCTGGTGTCATATATCCAGTTCACGTCATACCTTCTCCTTTCGGAAAACCCGGTAGGTCTGTCTTTGTCAACACTGATTTCGTTCTGCGAGTGAATCTAATCTGTGCTGAAAAGCTGAGAAAAACTGTGCAGTTGTCTTTTAGTTATTGAGAGTTATCATTACGAAACTTTAGAAGGTCTCGAATCCGCAAACTTGTGGCCAGTAGCATGAACATGTCACTCAACATAATCTCTATCAACAGCATATAGGAAAACGATAAATGATCCAATCGCAAATAAATGAACATTCTTAGGTTTGTATGAAGTCTGAAATGCTTACAGACTTTGCACATCTGTTGATCAGTCCCTGGTTTAGCCAAGAAGTGTGGATGCTTCACTTCAAACAGCATCTGCAGAAATGCAAGCTGATGAAAAATCTTGCTGAATGCCGCCCAATGTTCGTCCAAGCAATGCGAGTCCTGAAGTATGAGAGATCAAAGTAATTCTAAGTTGTTCTTTCGAAACACGCAATATGACAATATCAACGAGTGTTTCGCTGAAGTGCAGTGTGAACTCAAACGATATAACATTCATTTCTATTAATAGATAGTAATGCGCATCCACCTCTTCTAACCGCGTTTGTTGTTGAGCAAAACTGTTGCACTTTTTCACAATTTCCTCCATTCACTAGCTGTGCTTGTTTTTGCTAAAACTGACGAGCCGGTTCCAGTACCTTGTTGAGCTTGCTTTCAGCTCAGGTCGTAGGGTTCATTCACCAAAGTATAGTCAAAACTACATGGTGACTCCTCGCCTTTCGAACATTTAGGGTAGTGCAAATGCTTAATTCCATAATTTTGTGTGCAGTGGGCGCGTGAACGCTTACCGTTCCATGTAAATTGCCGGTTGGTTTAGGCGGCAAACAGAGCACAAACTGATGCATTGCAGATGCAGTAAGTTGTTTGGTGTCGTTCGGCTGTAGCACCCTTTCGGTGCCTATATGCTATGCCAACGGAGGGAGGCAGGAGGGCTTGGATACTGTCAAGTCGCCCAAGTCTAGACAGGGGCACTCACGATGCTGCGTTTGGGTTCGAACCACGGACCTTCCGGTTCGTAAGCCGCAACCTTAAGCACTGAGTTATCTCGAGCCCTGCTTTGGTGTGCCCTGTGTGTGCTTGTCAAAGCATCGCAAGGAAACGAGATTTTGAGCAACAAATATTGTGCGCCAAACAAATTCAATAAGTGGAATGCAACTGCCATCATAATTGGTTTCAAATCTAATAAGAACACAAATG